ATCCTTGATATTACTTATTATTGTTAAATGATAGAAAAACTTACAAGTCAGAACCATACTAGGAGGTAAGCTAAATTGTTCTCCATATCTTAGAATTCAAGATCAATTCAAGATTTTTAAGAAAATTCTCTCTCTGCCTTTCTCTCTCTCTCTCTCTCTCTCTCTCTCTCTCTCTCTCTCACACACACACACACACACACACACACACACACAGACGTGTGCACATGCTTAATACCTCTTGTAAGGTATAGCTAGCTTTTCTTTATGGTACATGGAATCAACTGCTTATGCTGCAGATTCTGTCTCCATCATCATTTTGCTGCCAATACAAAGAACCAAACAGTCACGCGAAAGGATCTCAGACATTCGAAACAAAACAGCATTCTTCAAGTCCTCAGATGGACATCCCAATCCTAGAACTATGCCTCTAGCACTGCATCCTCACATTTATTCATCCAAATAAAAATTGGCCTTGGCTATCCATACTCATTTACCCTTTGGAAAATGAGCTAGTCTGTGATCCCCTTCAGAGATCACCTGAAATAAGGCAGTGTCCCAAGGGCTCGGATGAGCTCTGCTTTTGTTCTTGATAGAGCTGAACAGCTATTACAATCTTCTCCACACAAAGTAGTCAGAAAAGTAATATTCTTGGTGTATGATGTGAGAAGAAGGTGTTATCTTTCATAAAACATCGTATTTGAATGGAGATTAAATTTGGGAATAGATTAACAGGAAAGGGATGGATAGAGAAAAGTGGTCATAATGGCAAATGATCACAATGAAACAGAGACCAGGAATTACCAGTAGTTGGCAATAAAAGGAAATAATGATGGTATAAAGCATTTCCAGGAATTAAAGGTCAAGATAACGTTGAACATTTCCTGTTTCTCTAATCCACCAAAATACTCTTGAATATCTCCAATAGTGAGGGGGAAGAGAGGACTCTTTTTTTAATCAACACTGAAAACTATAGTGTTTTTTATATAACTAAATTAAAGACTGTAATAGTAGCAGTGGGTTAACAAATACCACGTCTGACAAATACACTGAAGTGGGAAGGTAAAGACCCCAGTTTGTAAAGAAACCTATAGTAATAAGAAGTTAAATAGTCATGTCCTCTCCTCATATCTGCACAATAATTTTAGTTTTGCTTCTTGGTTATTAGAATCTATTTTAAGGCATATATTTAGAAAAATTTTACTCTTTGTTTAGATAGGAATTCATAGTCAGCCGGGCACGGTGGCTCAAGCCTGTAATCCCAGCACTTTGGGAAGCCGAGGCAGGCGGATCATGAGGTCAAGAGATCCAGACCATCTAGGCCAACATGGTGAAACTCCTTTTCTACTAAAAATGCAAAAATTAGCTGGGCGTAGTGGCATGTGCCTGTAGTCCCAGCTACTCGGGAGGCTGAGGCAGGAGAATTGCTTGAATCCTGGAGGCAGAGGTTGCAGTGAGCCAAGATTGTGCCACTGCACTCCAGCCTGGTGCCTGGTGACAGAGTGAGACTCTGTCTCAAAAAAAAGAAAGATAGGAATTCATAGTCAGGACTTTGGGGGGATTTTCTATGTAATTCCTCGCTGCAGAGAATTAGGCAAAATCACATTTCATTCTTCTGGCAACAGACTTGCATAAGTGGAGTGCCCCAAATTTCCAACTCTTTAACTAAAACAAGGCTAAGGAGGAGACACAAAAAGCATCCTCTCCATTGGCAGACATTATGTTCAGATACATCTACTGTTATTCAATGACAAAAAAAAAGACAATTAATTGGTAGGGGAAACAAGGTTTACAAATTCTGTAGCCCAAGATAAATGTTCTATATTATTTGAGAAGAAATAAAGGCTATCTCTGAAAAATATTTAAAATGCAGAGCAAAAGTAATGTAGGAAATACCTCCTTCTGGTACTCAGAGATGTAAATAAAGATGCATCTCTAAACAATGATAGAAGTATAGGAATCAGAGGTTAGCCTGCAAGAAAAAAAAAAAAAAAAGCAACAGTCCCAAGCTGAACAGGGAAGGAGAGAAGATTACCAGAAATCACAAAAGTCTGTGAGAAAATGTTGCAAGGAAATTAAATCTATAGCAGAGATTTACATTAATATTAGGGGAGATGGAAAGTTAAAAAAAAACTATAAAAAACTTAATGCCTAATAAAAAGTGTGAAATTATGCCATAATGAAAACAAAAGTTTAAAAGCATTAACTATGACAGATAAATAGCTGATATAAATAAAGTAAGTTAGAGATTCAACAGCAGATAAACTGCACACTCTTGTTCTATGTTATGGTTGTGTTGGCCTACAAAACCAGACACAGTTGTCAAAATGCATCAAAATATAGAATTATAATTGATTAATTTTATCGTATATTCATTATGGGCCAAAATTGCTGATACAAATTATACTGAAAGAAAATCAAATTAGATCAAACAGATCAGAAATAAATATAGGTACACTAACAAATAAAAATGTAAACTAAAACAATGGGAGATAAAAAAATTATGATCATATTTTAAGCAAATGACATAAAGGAAAAAACCACCTTGACAATTTTTTAAAAAAGAATAATACAAACATATACATATTAATATATACAATAGAAAATATTATGTATATGAATGTATCAAAGAGAAATTAAGTTTGTATTAAAATACCAACATATATTTTTTATATAGCATATATACAAATAAATATGCATAAAACATATATACATATTTGTGTGTATATACACACAGCTATCTATTTAAAAATAAAACTTCACCTTCTCTACAATGCTAGGCATTAGAAAAACTATAGAGTTATTTCTAGTAAATTCTGAAATAAAAATATTATTTTTCAAAAAATCTATATAGAACTAAATTTTCTTTATAACTTTTTCTATAGTTCTAATCTTTCTGAAAAGTTTTAGAAAATGTGTTACTAATATACACTTCTGAGGAAAACACATTGAATCCATACTTTGGCCTCAGGAGATATTAATCAAAATAAATTAAAAACAATGAAGATATTTCTGTATGAAAGAATATCAGAAAACAAACATAAAACACTAAGTGAAATCGATATTGTGAATGTCATAAAATTGAACATAAATGCTAATAAATAGCATAAATACCATATTGATCGTAATAAAAAAGAGATGTCCTTAAATATAGTTAATTTTGCAAAGACAGCATAGGTTGGACTTGGGAAAAGAAAACAAAAGGTTATTGGTTTTGATTTTTATTTATTTCAAAAAATAATAAAATATTATTGTGAAAATTATAGAAACCCACTGGTAGAATTAAAATGGATGATGACTTTTCACATTGCAGTAGAAGACTAAAAACAAACACATATTGCATTGCAAATGACAGGAAACAAAGGCAGCCAAAAAGAAATAGAAAAAAAAAACAACAACTGAGAACATAAAACAAAGTGACAGAATTAAAGCAACACATAACAGTGATAACAGTGAAGGAAATTGCTTTAAACTATTCTGTTATTCAGAAGCAAATATTGTCAGGAAGAATTACAAAACTACATCAAATTTTAAAACATCTACAAAAATGACAGAAACATTTCAAATCAAAGAATGGGTAAAAGTTTATTGTGCCTGGAAAAACAGAAACTGAGCATGGAGAAGCTATTAGCAAACAAGGAAAAATGTAAGGCAAGAAGCATTAGCCAAAATGAATTGGATCATATTACAATTGTAAAACTGTCACTCAATGTTGCAAACCAAATAGTTTTAAATTCTTTTACATTAATTAATGTAGTATCAAAGTGTACCAAATAAAAGCTAAGAAGTGGAAAAATAAATTGATGATAAGTTTTACTATAAAATATGTGAAATTAGATATTTATTATATTGTAAACACATTAATATTTGTATTAATATGTATTAAAGCTCTTAGAGGGGCTACCACATATATGTGGGAAAAAAGTTACCCTTACTGGATGGAAAAGTCTCACTAATTCTAAAATGTGAAAGTTATGTAGGCCGTATTTTTGATAATGAAAATCTAGGATTATTTATAAGGTTTATACTAAATAACTCCACAATAAAATTTTTAAATGAAGTCTTGAATAACAATTAAGTGTTAAAGATTAAGAAAATATTATGACATATTACACTAACAGTTTAATAAGTAAAAGGTTTGATTTTGATGAGAAATAGTGTAAAGAAATGAGCTAAGCATAATGCTCAAAAAGATCGTCTTTAACAAAGAAGCACTAGGAAATGTAAGAAGAATAATTCAGATAAAAGTGAAACAAAACAAAAAAGTTTATAAAAAGGAAACTGTGAGGTTGTTTTAAAAATCCAAAAATTTATTCTAAAAGTATCAATAACCAAAACCAAAACAAAGCAAATTCAGTGCCTTTCTTCCCTTCCACTTCAACTTCAGGTCATTTGCCTCTTCATATGCAAAGAGGCCGCGGCAAACGTAGACAAATAATGTAGCTCATGTGCACTTTATATGAGGCTTTGCTGTGCTTTTTGTAAAAATAGGTGGTCCAAGGTTTCTATTCCTTAGGACCAAGCAAGTGATAGAAAATTAGCATCGGGTAGCAAATCATGAAATGAAATTGTACTTCAAAACCTGTGAACTCCCGAAGGTTGAAAATTCATCATCAGACTTTCACAACTTTGCCAGGTCATTCTGACACCCAAAAGAAAAGAAAGAGCTAAATGAGCACTTTGAGTCTCACTGTCCTTGAGGGAAAGAGAATGCAGAGCCTGGACAGCAGAAATCAGGGGATCTGCAGCAGGAGCCTGGAGACTTTGCTGCTCCAGCACCATAAATGCATGTCCATCCACTGCACCAGCTGCTATTCCCTGAGATACCCTAGTCCTTAAAGTCTCTCCTATCACTTGGGACAAGAAAAAACAAACAAACCTGTTGTCTCTTAAGGAAACGTACAGAGTAGAGTTCTTTCTGTTTTATGCAGCTGAAATAATAAAGGCAGTAACATAACCAGTGAGAATGAGAAAAACGAGTTTGGGGTGCAAAAAATAAGTCATTAGGCAGATGATGAACAGCCAGTATAAAAGTAAGTGACATGAAGGATACACTCGAGGACCCATCCGGCCCACAAAGAAAGAGGTGGCCTCTGACTGCAGCGCACATGAAGCTTCCCCAGTAGCCTGTGGGCTTGTGAAATCTGTCCTATATGTTGAGGCTTTATTGAGAAGCGCACTCGCTGTTGTTGATCTCCCAACATAAGTTTCTTCTGGCGAGAGGGATCAAGTAACTCCTTGATACTGTGCCCGGCACAGCTTGGCTCAATCCTTGCAAATGCTCGATGAGAGAGAAAGTGTCTGTGACACGTGAACGAATGGCATCAGCTCGCGGCAGCTGCACCTGCCCTTCTTGGTGATAAGCGGCCATGTCTGCTCAGCCCGGGTTCTCTTCGCCCTCTCGGTCCTGGCTTCACGCTTCCGCCTCCGGCTATGAGCAAAGCTCCCTCCACTCAGGACGAGCTCAAGGTAGGCTCCCAGCCTCACTGCGCCCCATTGCCAGCTCCAGGCTGCCCCGCCCGACCCCCCAGGTTCCGGCTCGCCCCTGGCCTAGCCCTCGCCCCAGCCCCTAGCCCCCAGCCCAGCCACGCTTGCTCAGGCACTTGCCCCCTCGCCCCCACTTTTTTATTTTATTATTATTATTTTTTATGGTTTATCCCTTTATTGTTTCTCCTTTTATCAAAACGTGTCAGAGCTGGGAACCAAGAGGAAGAAAAAAAAAATACCCACAAATATTCCGCCTGGCTCCCAATTAGTCCTCTCCCAACCCCCCACCTAGGGCTTCTGGCCAACCCCTAGCGCACGAGATCATCTCCCCCCCACCCTCAGGCTTCTCCCAGCAATAAATACAGGTGTCTATGATTCAATGAAACCGCAACTGATTTCTCAGGAGAAGGGTCCTAGGGCCCGGGGAATGATCTCCACCTGTGATGGAACCAGTGAAACTGGCCGCTCTCTGCTCCCAGGGACTGAGGAGGGGAGGGGGGAATCATCAAAGCCCGGCCCGTCCCTGCCTTCTCCCGTCCTTGCAAGGCTGTGCCCTTCTGCTGTCTGTGTATCTCTGAGCTCCGCCGTCCCGCACTTCCTGGGATGATGTGTGAAACCTGACACTTCGATTTATTTGGAAATATTTTGTGACCACTTAACAGATGAGGAAACTGAGGCCTTAAGTGTGGAAGAGGTAGAGTGAAGAATAGAACCCAGGTATGATGCCAAAGCTGCTTTATTCTCTGCCTCCGCCTCACACGACTCACACCTCCTTTTCTTCTGGCTTTGTTGTCCTCCCAGGAAAGGTGTCCAGAGTACAGAGGGTGGAAAATAGCAGATATCCATCAGAATATACGGTCAAAATAATAGAAATACCGTGGGTACACGAGTAGAACTTAAAAAGATAAAAGTGATTAATAAAAGTGGGACACCCTTTACACACACACACACACACACACACACACACACACAGAACTTTCTGATACAGAAACCAAAACGGTACTTCTAATTGTATTAGTTAGAAATGTAATCAGCTGAAATAATTAGAACACTTGGTTTGCAGTGGTTTAACAAGAAAAATTTTTTTTTTTTTACACAATGAAAACTCATGAATTAGGTAGACAAAGAATGGTGCAGTGATTATAGAATAATATAAATATTCCCAGCTTTTCCTCTTTACTTTACTTTCCCATGCTCTTTACTTTACAACTTTTGTTTTCACTGTCCTAACATAATTCCTGCACTAATAAGCATTCCATCCATTGTTAGCTGAGTACAAGGGAGGAAGGACAAAGAATGAAAGGACCGTGACAGATAAGTTTGATCCTCTTTTAAAACGTTCCTGGACACCTCCCAAATCCAGCAATCTCTACTTCAACTTTATTGGCCAGAGCTGAGCTCCTTAGCCATCATCAAATGCAAGAATATCTAAGAAGGTAAACATTTTAATTGGCTATATTGCCAAATTATATATTTCTTCTGTAAGAAAGGGGGAATATACATTGAATGAGCCCTTAGAATTTTCTGTCAGATTAATGACAAAGTTCAGAAGACAAATTGTAGAATGATCACTATTAAAACCAAATGAGTGGCCAGAAAATCAGGGAAAAGGCATATTTTAATACACAGAACAAATAAGCAAAGAAACAAAAATTGAAATCGTGAGGCCAAACATATGAGATTCTGAGGTTATATTGTGAATCTTAGTGATGCATGAAAGAATGGCAATAAAAAACTTACAAGGGAAGAATATTTTCATGAGTTGAAGAAATATATTTTGCAGATTGAGACCATTCACCTATTTCTAGGCAGGACAAAGGAATATATAAATCTAGCATATCTGGGAAACATTTCTGGGTTCAGGCAAAGGGGACAAGCTATCTACAATGGTAAAAACACGTTAGTATTATTCAATAAAATGAGAAAGTCCTTTTATAAAAAGTGGAACAAAATAAGAGAACTACTTAAAGTTATATAAGTAAATCTTGATAATGCTTGATTCAAAGAGAATATCATATGTTACTGATAACAAAAATGAGGATGTTGATTTAAAAAAATCAGGATGGAGAAAAATAATCTGTTCTTGGAAGAAAACGTTTAACACCAGATGACTTCATTGTAAAATAAAATACCTAAGTAGGCACAGAAATAAAGTTTAAAAAGTAGAGAGAGCGACTAGAAATAAAAGTTGAAATCATTAATTTAGAATTCATTACATATACAGATAAATAGCTTTTCCTGCTTCAAAAGTCATCACCTAGAAGAAAAGATAAGCAGCAAATTAAAGCATCTATAAAATGGTGCTTATTTCAGGTTACCTTATCAATAGGGTGACAATGAAATTATGGTACATAACAAATATGTAGCCAATAAAGTAATTAATTAGAGCTATATGACTCTGTAGATGTGTTTATGTATTTCTCACACATAGTATTATTATTATTTTTAAAAATAGGTCAATTGTTACTCATTTTCTTTGTGAGGCAGTCAAAGTAGATATCAGAATAGGAGAGATAAACACGTAAGTACAAAAAGGGAATAGAAAATTGTATGTATAGGATCACATTTTGCATTTGTGTCAAATTGTGTATATTTGTACGTGAGTGTTTAAATGGATTAAATTATTTTTAAAAATAGAAGATTTTTAAAAGGAGATATTTAGCTTAAATATAAAAAGCAAAATAATAAGAAAGATTTTTTTAAAAAACACAGTATATAATTGCATATAAATAACTTATTAAACCTGGGTAAAATGAGTCATTTCTTGAGGAAAATACATTTTACCTGGGAAGAAACAGTAAACCTGAATATACAGAAACTAAATTTGAAATTGAAATTATATTTATGTAGTAATACAGCTACATGTTGTTTATCTTAGATATGTGTAAAACAGTCACTCTATCTTCCAGCAGTAATGTTAGGATACTCTAATCTCTTGAAGAGAAGTCACTATATAAACTCTTGCACAACATGTAAACCTGAAGATAGCTATCCAATTTGTTTTATGAATATGACATCAAAACCCAAGAAAATAACACAGAAAATATTCAAGTAAATAACAGTGTATGTTTCTCTGTGTTGAAAGATTAATAGAAAAACAGAATAACTAGAGATATTAATAGAATAACAGGATGACAACATAGAAAATGTTTTGTCTTAATACATTAAAAAACAAGCTATGGGATGCCAATGCCATTATTTCCTTAATCTCTGGAAGCAGAAATCCTTTTGGGACAAAGCTGCTTTTGCTAAATGGTATTTTTGGTAGAAAGTGACTCCTCCAGTACCTGGGAGGACATTGATGCCAAAGTTTTTAGGAAAAGGAGACTCCATCTTCAATTATAGACATTTTATTACTGTAGTTCCTAAGAGCAAGTGGAGAAGAGGAGAATAAGAAGCAAATGGAAAGAAATGTGAGGAAAGGAAAAAAGAAAAAGGAAAAGTGGTACAGAGGCTGTTTTCTCTCCCTGTGACCTTGCCAAGTCCTCTTTAATTACTAAGTAAAACTTTTCAAGGAAATAAGCAAAAGTGCCAACATTTGCATCTAGTTTATCCCAGATCTGAATCAAGACACTGTGGCAAAAAGGTGAAGTGAGTGGGAAGTGTGCTGCATTGACTAGTACAGGAGCTCGGTGCCCCAGCTCTGCTGGTGGATTGGGAAGAATGTGGCTTGACAGCTCCATCTTATATTAAAATCAACTCTAGATGGCTGGAAGAGTTAAGTCTAAGACTTCAAACCATACAAATTCTAAACGATAACCTAGAATAAGCTCTTCTGGAGATTCACCTAGGCAAAGAATTCATGATTAAGAACCCCAAAACAGATGCACATAAAACAAAAATAAATAAATGGGTCCTAATTAAACTAAAAAGCTTCTGTAATAAAAGAAGCTATTATCAGAGTAAACAGATAACCCACAGAACGGGAGAAAACATTTGCAAACAATACATCCGGCAAAGGACTACAACGAACAAAAACACATCAGCAAGAAAAAACAAGAATCCCATCAAAGAGAGGGCAAATTACATGAATATAATTTCTCAAAAAATATGTATAAACGGCCAAAAAACATATAAAAGTGCGCAACATCACTAATCATCAGAGAAATGCAAATTAAAACCACAATGAGGTAACACTTATTCCTGAAAGAATGTCTGTTATTAAAAAGTCAAAAAACAATAGATGCTGGCAAGGATGTGATGAAAAGGTAGTGTTCATATCCTGATGGTAGGCATGTACATTAATACAACCTTTATGAAAAACAGTATGAAGATTTCTTAAATAACTATAAGTTTCAGCTATCACTCAGTATAGCAATCCCACTACTAGGTACCTACCCATAGAAAAAGAAGTGATTATATTAAAAAGACACCTGCAAAGAAGTGATTATATTAAAAAGAAACCTGCATGCATATGTTTACTGTGGCACATTTCACAGTTGCAAATACATGAAAACAACCTATGGGTTCATGAACCAATGACTGAATAAAGAAAATGTAGTATATATACACCACGGAATATTACTCAGTCATAAAAAGAACAAAATAATGTATTTTGCAACAACTTGGATGGAGTTGGAGGCCAGTATTCTAAGTGAGGTACCTCAGGAAGTGCCAAGAGAATACCATATGTTCTCATTTATAAGTGAGAGCAAAGTTATAGACACACGAGGGCATTTAGAGTGATATAATGGACTTAGGAGACACAGAAGGGGAAGGGTGAAAGGGTGGTGAGGGCTAAATTCTACTGATCAGGTTCGACGTATACTACTCAGGTTATGGGTACACTAAAACCTCAAATTCCACCGCTTTGCAATTCATTTATGTAACTAAAACCCATTTGTACCACAGTAGCTACTGGAAAAAAAATATTTAAAAAATAGA